ATATGCATCGTGTAATTATTGCTAAGATCGAGATAATTAACATTTCCATCACCTTACATAGTTAACTTTCTCTCTCTCTCTCGATTTTTCTTTTGTGTTTTTTGTTTTGTTTTGTTTTGTTTTGTTTTTGGTGAGAATGCTTAATAACCACTCTCAGTAACTTTCAAATGGACAATTTTTTTTTTTTGCGTTTATGGTATTTTTGTTTTGTTTAGTTTTTTTATTATGTTATGTTAATCACCATACATTACATCATTAGTTATTGATGTAGTGTTCCATGATTCATTGTTTGCATATAACACCCAGTACTCCATGCAGTACATGCCCTCCTTAATACCCATCACCGGGCTAACCCATCCCCCACCCCCTCCCCTCTAGAACCCTCAGTTTGTTTCTCAGAGTCCATAATCTCTCATGGTTCATCTCCCCCTGATTTCCCCGCTTCATTTTTCCCTTCCTGCTATCTTCTTTTTTTTTTTTTAAACATATAATGTATTATTTATTTCAGAGGTATAGGTCTGTGATTCAACAGTCTTACAAAATTCACAGCACTCACCATAGCACATACCCTCCCCAATGTCTATCACCAGCCACCCCATCCCTCCTACCCCCTACCACTCCAGCAACCCTCAGTTTGTTTCCTGAGATTAAGAATTCCTCATATCAGTGAGATCAGAATGTGAGAAGATATTTGCAAATGACATATCAGATAAAGGGCTAGTATCCAAAATCTATAAAGAACTTACTAAACTCAACACCCAAAGAACAAATGATCCAATCAAGAAATGGGCAGAAGACATGAACAGACATTTTTCCATAGAAGACATCCAAATGGCCAACAGACACATGAAACATCACTCAACATTGCTTGGCATCAGGGAAATCCAAATAAAAACCTCAATGAGACAATATTGTATTATTAATTATAGTCACCCTGATGTACATTAGAGCCTCAGAACTTATAACTGAAAGTTTGTACTTTAGATCCTTTGACCTGGATCTCCCCATTTCCCTTTCCCCTCCCAGTCCCTAACAAACCCCATTATATTCTGTCCTTATGAAATCAGTTTTTGTTTGTTTGTTTTTTATTCTGCATGTAAGTGATACCATACAGTATTTTCTATCTGGCTTATTTCACCTGGCAAAATGCCCTCCAGTTTCACCCATATTGATACAAATGGCAAGATTTTCTTTTTAATGGCCAAACAACATCCCACATAGATACATATACATAGTGTATATGTGCACGTATATGTATATACCATAAACATTTTTTTATTTATTCATGAAAGAGAGAGAGAGAGGCAGAGGGAGAAGCAGGCTCCCAAGGAGCAGGGAGCCCAATGCGGGACTCGATCCCAGGACCCCGGGATCATGACCTGAGCCAAAGGCAGACGCTCAACCATCTGAGCCACCCAGGCGCCCCTACCATAAACATTTTTTTAACGTGATGGTTTCTTAGCACCTATGTAGAGGGGTGGGTGAGAGGCTGGAGTGGGTGAGTTGGTGGAATTATTCTGTAGGAGCTTTGGAAAACTCTGGGAACAGGGGTAGTAGTTTGGTGAGCCCAGATAGTATCAATTTAGCTCAGTCCTAAGGAGGAAGCCCGTGATCAGTTCCTGGAGGAACCTCACTCATCCCTGCACAGATCCTGGCACTGTTTCTGGCACTCTCTCACCTTCTAAGGGATGGATGGTTTGAAAATAACAGCTTGATGGGTTGGCTTCAACGTGCTCTTTATACACACGGGCCAAGTGACGTTCCCCCAGTAGCTTTGTAAACAGTGGATATGGCAGGAAGGAGCCACAGCAAAACAAAAGTACAGATGGCACATGGTGACAGACCGGGTGGGGAATCCTGAGCCATGCCATTGCGCCAAGACCCACAGATAACTGGGTGCTGAGGTCCTGGCCCAGAGTAGGTAGAGGTTGTTAAGCCACTGATAGTTGGATTATAGCTATTTAAAGAAAGTATCCTAAAATTTAAAAAGGAACCTAAAAAGGCTATTACCATATGGTCATCACTTGCTGTTTTGAATCAGGGATATTTTGGTACTATCTAATGAAAACGAGATATAGAAAGAGAGGAGATGCTGATGAGTATTCCATTTTGTGTGTGTATGTATCAAAACAGCCTTTCTCTCATTGATTGGATTTATAATTCTATGCAGTTGGGCTCGTAGAACTAAATCTATACATGAAAATTGTTTACCGAATGAATAAAAATAAATTACCATTTATGTATTTTTAAGTACATATAACATTTCACTTGATGAAAAAGTTTCACTGATTTTTTTTTTTAAGTTTGGGAAGAATGCACAAAAACAGTAGACAATGGGACCAGAATAGGCAGGTAATTGCCTTCTCCCCTTTTCCTCATGTAATACTGGTAGTTTGGGTTGTGGGCCCTTTAACAGGTAGTAATTCTAGTAATAGTATTGCTAATTAACCAGGACAGAAAAGTGAAGAAACAACAACAAACCAGATCTAATACAATGAGGCATCACTATCCAGGAGTATGGAGGTAAATAATGCACACAGACCGAGAAGGGGAAAAAAATGGGGGAGAGAGATCGCAAGGAATCGACTGGAGACATAACTAAAGGTTAGCAGTTCGCCCTTCTTTCTTGCTCTCGTTCTGAAAACAGAAAGATTAGATTGATTCAAGCAGATATACTTTGCAATGCCAGAAAGGATGCCTCTTCGGGTGCGGTATTGATAAACTGCCCGAGTGTATCAGTGGCATTTTGTTTTACTGGCCCCTCAAGAAGAGGCAGGGAGTGGATTTTTACCTTCCTGCCCACCTGTCTGAGAATTGCTTAAACAGTTTCTGTGTGTGTGCGTGCGTGAGGGGCTCCACACCATTACCTGCTGGGTTAAAAGATTCCTTCTCTGGGACTCCTCTGGATTCCTTCATCAGATGGATGGGAGATGCAGCCTGTGCCCAGCTGAACTTCATTATTGAGTGTACTGCTGTATTGTATCAAGAGAGCAACTACCGAGAAATGCTTTATGTCCACACCCCCATATTCTTGGTGGGGGATTTATAGGTCTATTTGGCAAAATCATACCGAGGTGGAGTGGTAACGTCACTCTGTGTCTTCCAACAAACAGCCACCCTGCTGCCGCTGATCAGCGTTCCTGGGATGGCGGTGATTGAAATTTAGCACTTAGAGTGACTTAATTGGCACGCAGAACTGTTCAGCATATGCCCCCACCACAGGTGCACCATCTGATGTACCTGTAGGGTGCCCAGTACCTCACACATGCTCACATTTTGTTAAAGAAGGAAGTTTTGAGCAGGTCCTTGAAGGAAGCCTGCGCAGTGGTTCAGTAGAGGGGTGGCCTTAGAGCATAGCTCCTCAGATCTCTGTCTGTCTTTGGGTTACCATAGTTCTTCATTCCCTTGAACTTGGAACAGACCTAAGATTGTGGAGTTCTAGTTTGCTTACTGTGAAAGAACTGTTGGGTATCTGCTCATTGATGCTTGTGCCTTCGGTAAATCAAGCCCTGTGCTAGCAGAGTGGAACTTGGAAAGGTTCAGTACTCCTTGGCAGCTTGCTGCCTTGAAATTCAAGGTTAGAATGTTCTGTGCTCACTGTGACTAGAACCGATCCCTTGGCCTTCAGGGAAAGTCCTGGAAATCGATGTCAACATTTTTCTGCTGAGTTGGAAACAGCAGGGCTGGGCCAAATGGTCTCGGTTATGTGAATCAGGAGAGAAATGGAAACCTCAACAGAAAACAGAGCAGACCTATTAAGTTCTTGGCCTTATGTAAGGAGAGCGAATGAGGGGTGAGGACTCACTGGGTAGGAACACACTGCTCTGTGGACTCTTCCCATGTGTCCTGGGGCTCATGTGCTCCAGGTAACGGGGGGCCCTGGTCATCACTGCAGATGCCGGAAGAAGCAGTCTTCTCAAGCTGCCATGATGGGCATGAGTGTCCGTGGGACTGAGGAGGGGTAGATAAGCTGTCTGTCAACTGAGGTTTTCTTTGATGAGCTCCTCCTGTCCTAACTGGATCACAGACTACAGGCCTCATCTGTATTTACGTTCTCCTCAGGCATCAGGCGAAATCCTGGGTTCCTAATAAGTGTTCAATGAGTGTTGAATTCTGAAAGAAAGAACAAAATCGTTGGGATTCCTCTGAGTGATGTTGAGAATAGCAGTGGCTTCAAAGCCAAGAAGGGTTTGCCGTGAAGCTGTGGAGCTGAAGTGTCAGTGTCCCAGGACCTGTTCTGAAGTTTGAATTTGTATGTTTATATGCTGTTCCTTATGGAGGGTTCCCCAAATTCTGTAAGCTTCAGGACCTCATAAAACATAAATAAACTCCTGTTGAAATGTTCTTGCTGAGCTCTTGTGGAAGCCTGGATTCCATCCAGTGGCTTTCCCAGAAATTGGAGAATCAGAAGAAACAGATAAAGCCAGCCCTGCAAGGGAGAGGAAAGGGAAGGAACTGACATTTAAGAAGCCCATGCAGATGGAAGAATAATTAGCCTTTATTACCTATTTTAACTCCTCACAGCAAGCCTTTCTGGGTGATGGCATTACTGCTTGCCCTCTTAATAGATGGGGACATTGAGGTTCAGAGAAGCTAAGCAACCTGCCCAGTGTGGTACAGCTACTAGGGCTGGGACCTACATCACTGACCTTACTCTCTCCTGACCATCTGCTCAGGGGCTCCCTTACAGGGTGCATATTTGACAGCTCTGCTAGCCTTCCCTGAAAGCCTTTCAGCCCACCAGGGTAAGGAATGCCTGGATGGGCAGGCAACTCTTACTGCAGGACAGAGGGAGAAAGTTGGGGAGGGGATCAGGCCTGAGTGGTTTAAAGGAAGGCCCTGGCAAACCCTTCCCCAGTCGGTGTTAAGTGATGCTGTAACAATTCATTCAATTATGTTAAGCACCCATTAAAGGAATCCTAAGTCCTCCCTTGGGCCATTTCAGTTCTATGATATTGTAATTGTTTGAGACTAACCATGATGTCTTCTTTTGCCTTCAGGTGATTCTCATTTTGACAAAGCTCTATGACTATAACCTGGGGAGCATCACTGAGAGCTCGCTTTGGAGGTACGTAGATAAAGTGAGCTAAGGATTACTGTGTTACTTAAATATGACGCCCATGACTGCTCTTCCCCACCCCTTTTTTTTTTCCGGGGGTGGGGAGATTTTTGGCTCTGTGTTCTCACTGCTTCCTCTGTTTGCTCTCCGTTTTCTTTAGTCACAGGTTGGGGTTTATCGCCAGGCAGGCCAGATCCTTACTTCTTTATAGACCCCTTGTTTTGGCCACAGGTCTTTTTGCTAAACTGTTCATTATTGGGTTGCCTTTATGCGTTTTGGTTCCCACGGTTCTCACTGATTTATGAGCTTGTTGGAGCAGAAACAAAAGAACGGAGGGGTGTCTGCAGAGAGAATCTACAGCACCACTTCCTTCCAGGCCCTCAGTTCACTAGCACACACGTGTATGCACACACACTCGCGTGCATGCCTTCCTCTCTGGGATTCACACTGTATTGTGTGAATATAAATTCTTCAGATGAATTCTATTGATCCTCGAGGATCTGACTGACTCATTGAACACCAGCACACATGTGCAGTTAGGCTGAAACTAGGGACAGGAAGGTGCTCAGAAATCCAGGCAGCCCTCCGCTCCTTTTGTTCTTAGGGGCTATATGTTCCGTTGTTTCTGTTTGTTTGTAAACATGGGCTTTATTGGTCTCATCCTGCTTGGGTCTTTGCCAGCCCATGTCATGTGCCCACACCCAAACTGACCTCAGGCACAGGAGGTGCATGGTTGCTTAGGCCTGGGTCTTGTGATAATCCCTGAGCCAGGGAGAGGGTGGAGATGACCCCAGGGATGATATTCAGCAATCACTGGGTTGGCGCCCAGCCCAGAGTCTGATGGGTCAGTGCCGTCATTACAGTGATGGCTTAAATATGTTGACTATCACTTCTGATCAGCCATCCCTGAGCACATACACTGCTGTGCACAGAGGATGGTGGGGGAGGGGGGGAGGTGGTACTAAGAACATAGGAGCTGGGAGTCGCCTCCGGGCAGACATAAGCGGGCGGTTCTCCCGCACGTAGGATTAGCGGGGAACTTCACCCGCTGTCAGTTAACATGACCAGGAGAGACTGGCTGCTGGGCCTCAGTCGCAGGGCTAATGTCTAGGGAGAAGGAGTCCAATCTGCCCTTTGGGTCAGGGGTCCATCCCTGCTACAGTGAACAGTGATGGGGCTGGAGGGGAGGTAACTGTACTTGCTTTAGCAATTGGGTTGTAGGGCAATGCCCTTGTCACACAGAAGAGGGTCCTGAGTTATACACCCTAAAGGAATCTACCCCACAAAAGGATTGTTCGCTAAATTTCATTTTAACCTGATGGCTGTTTTCCATTAGGCTTCACACTCTATATAAGAAACCCCGAATAAATTGTTGTGTGCTTTAGGAAAACCCCAGCAGACCAAAGAAAATGATAGGATCCTGTTCTTGTGCTTGTGGTGAGGTGTTTAGATTATTGAACTCTTCCCCCAACAAGGTCAATTATGCAGAGTTTTGGTCCCAAGGAAATGATGTAACGAAATTAAAGTGTGGAAAGTTCGGTAGGAGCCTCAGAAAGTACAATTCTTTAATGTATTAAGGGCCTGACACTCGCTTTATTGTTTAAATTCAGGACCCCTTCATCAGACTCTCTGTGACTCCACGTAAGCTTATGTTTCCTTGATAGATTGCTCTAATGTATGTACATACATGAAAGTAAAAGCCAGCTTTTATTTTGCGGTGCATCTGCTGTGTGAAGTGTAGTCGGCATGTTAGAAAATTAAAAGATATGCAATTCTGTCTCAGTGGGGACAGAGGCTGTTAGAGGCCCTAAGTCTCAACCCGAGCAGTGAGAAGGGCATGCCCCAGGGACAGGAGGAACAGCTTGCCCTAGACTGCTAAAGTCAGGTTCACCAGGCTCCTTTCCCCCTTGTGGGGCACTGTGACTGATGCCCTGGCCTAGGGAGGATGTTTTTTTCCTCATCTCAAGAAGGGGGGTGAGTTAGTAAAATAAAAAGATAAATAAAAATTTAGTGTGCAAATAAGCAAACAAAAGTAATACCGGGCCTTTCTTCTGAAGGAGCAACCTCTATGGGCTTAAGCTTTGGAAAGTGTGGAAGGAATCATCTGTTGACCCTTCAGTCTTAGGATCACTTTCAATGGAGGATATGTGCACATACATATGCACACGTAAATACACACACACACGTATACACATATAATATACCTGCATATGTTTACTTTTCTGATCGAGCCACGATAGTCATTTACCATGTCTGCCCTATGTTACATGTCTCATTTGTAGCAAATAACTACTGTGGGTGCTCTATACCATTAGAACTATCAGTTTAATACTTTGATAGAAGAACCCATGCCTAAATGAAAATATAATTTAGAAAAGAAAAGAGGGAAGGAAAAAGAAAAATATTTTGAATACTTCATAACTGCTTTGGTAGGGCTTGTGTTTTAGGGTGGTTCACAATTCCCATGTTTGGTCTTTAGGGGATCTCTTTGGGGTGTTAATATAGAAGAGGAGAGGGGGAGTCTGGGTTAGCCCTGCTTGAAGGAAACTGGTGCCAAACTCGTTTTCTCCTACATCAGCTCTTACTTTCTTTTTAGAAACCTGGCTTAAAATTGGGGGCTTGCTGGGGACAAGGTGGAATTTAGGTATTCTCATTATATCCCTAGCACAGAGCACTGGACTTAGCCCATTGACGATGCTCAGTAAGCATCTGTTCTTGAACAGACCAGTGAATACTTAAATTTCATATTCTTACTCATTTATTCAACAAAGATGTATTGATTAACTCCTGTAGGTCTTAGATTGTTCTAGTCCACGGAGGGGAACGTGGGTATGTACATAGATCAAGAGCACGTAAGCTCTGTCTGTCTTTCAGGTGTTCATTGTCTAGAGGGGGGCAAAGATCTGTGGACAGTTCAAATGAGAGTTAAATGTACTTGTATGGAACCTACCTTCTATAACTGTATTGGATTGGGTACTTAGGCAGCCACCTAAAGCTGCCCGATCCCAGAAGAAGATAGATCTAACGTAAACAGACAGACTGTCATACGACCTAAGTTTTGTAATAAAGACACGAGATAAGTGTTGCTTCTTTACTTTACTCACATGTATATTTTCTCTCAACTAGACTTTAAATCCTTAAACCCAACACCTTTCTGGTTTAATGATAATGGCAAAGATTCTTGTGATAATGATGATAATGACAACAATAATAAAAACGAACTGTTATTGAGCGGTCACTATGTGCCAGGCATGAAATTAAGTGCCACACATGCAGTATTGCGTCCTCTTACTTCATTTTTATGGTGTGCTCTGGGTTATGCAATTAGTAAATAATAGGCCATACACTTACGGGGATGTTAATAAACTTCAATCATTTTACTGCTTACCTGTCTTTGGGAGTCCCCTCTGCCTTCTGGTGATTCTTTCTGTACCTGAGCAAATAAGCAAACAAAATTTTAATCCTAAATATATGAAATAGAGTTTTTAAAGAACTGTGACATTCTGAGCAGCTTATTACTATTCCAGAAAAATATCAGGCAAAAGGGAAATGGCTTCTTGTCCAACAAAGAGACACAAGCACTTTTCAGTGGAGCCCTTATTCTTTACAAGTTTTTCCCACCAAACAGTGAGAAGGGGTCAAGTGGCAAATGGCGTGGGGTGTCAGAACAAGAGAGAGGTCGAGAGGCAGTTGACCTTGTAGTGATGTCCTAGGCTTCGCACCTTGCTGGCTCAGCAAGCTGTGGATGACAGGGTGAGGTGCAGCTGCGCTGAATTAATGAGCTCCTACTCCCAGGTGGTCTTGTCATTGACTACACCTTAATCTTGGAGCAAGTTGTTGATTTTGTTTTGTGTTGAGTTGTTGTTCACTCAGGGAGTCCAACCGAGAGGAAAGGGGGATAATCTGACACACAACAATTCACTACCCCTCAGAATCTTCTCCACTTCACAGTGGATTAAGCTTTGAGATTCGGTAGAGCTGGTGGTTTTGCCATATTGGAGCAAGATAAGCTTAAAGGTTGAGATAAATAAAATGTCAAAATCTAGATACAGTATCTCTGAGAAGAAATATATTCATCTTTTTTCCCTCTAGTGCCTGGGTAATCAGCACTTTGCTGAGAGAGGCTTAGCTGGTGAGAGAGCCCTAGGCAATTTTGGAAGGAGCTGAAAGGGATACTCTTTTTTTTTTTTTTCTATTTATTTATTTATTTCTGATGTAGTGTTCCATGATTCACTGTTTGCGTATAACACCCAGTGCTCCATGCAGAACGTGCCCTCCCTAATACCCATCACCAGGCTAACCCATCCCCCACCCCCTCCCCTCTAGAACCCTCAGTTTGTTTCTCAGAGTCCATCGTCTCTCATGGTTCCTCTCCCCCTCCAATTACCCCTCTTCAATTTTGAAAGGGATACTCTTAAAGGGACAGGCAGCCCTCAGTGCCCGTGTCCTAGAGCTCAGCTGACATGGCTGACTTCTCTTCAAATCCAGGGTACCATTTCAGATTCAGGTGAAACACAAGCAAGCGTCCGAACACATCTTCAAATTAGGTACTTTTCTAGGAGCAATACCTGCTTTTGGGGCACAAGGAGCATGTGGCTAAGGTAGGGAGCATGGGTAGGCTTTCTGTTTGATTCCACCCTGGGAGCCAGCCCTGGGTCCTCATCCCAGGAGCAGCTTTGTTTCATCTTGGGTGTTACACACAGCAATTATCAAGAGAGGCTTCCCCGTGGAGTCTTTGTGGAGAGGATAGCTCTGTGGAGAGTCCCCTGAGGCAGCGTCTGTGTGGGGTTGGCTGCAGACAGTGCTGTCTGGAGAGTGTGCGCAGCTCAGGCTGACAGAAGCTGACCGGAAGGCTGGGACTCTGCCTTCCCTGTGGTGGATGCGCATTAGCTGGGCCTGTCTTGCCTTCCCACTCCTCATCCAGGGCAAGAACAGAGGGCAGCTTGGGACAGGTTGTTAGTCCCTGCTTTGAAGGATGCTTTGCTACAAAATCCAGCTTTCAGTCAACT